AACCTGTACACACACACACACACACACACACACACAAACAAGGTTCAGGTGAAGCACTTGGGAGTGAGTGGGAATTTTTTTAAGCAGAAATGTGAAGCTTATAATTGTAGAAAAGCACTTAGGCCTTTTACAGTTGTTTTAGAAGTTATGGCCTTACCAATTAAGGATTTGCCCCATTCACTTCTATTGTATGTGCCTCACTGTAACCAGACATTTGAAAATGAGGGACAAGCTGAAATTCATTTTTGATGCTGTGGATTGAACTAAACTTGTCCTGAACCCACATTATTTGTCTAAACTTGACAGTTGCCCTAGAAGCCTGGCCATGAGATTGCGACTGTTTCCGTGTGATTCTCTCCACACCTCGGTGCGGGACTCACTCTTTCCGCACGTCTGGAATCTTGGAATCCTCACCGCCAGCTCAATTTGAGTCAGCACCACTGTGAGAAATGTTTTAGACTGTTTGTCTTTTTCTGCTGGAAGTAGATGCCTGAGTGCATGTGTGGAGTTGTGTATGAATTGCCTCTTTGGTAGTGTGCAAGCAAAACGTGTAGATTGATGGGTGTGAGAAACAAATTTGTCGATCTTAACCCTGTTTACTTTTGTGAGTGTGCGTAAGTATCTCACAGATGCCCTCGAGGTTCATGGATCAGGGCCAGCTGTGATCCACCAATCAGCTGTAAGGTGACAATGGTTTGTTTGACCCATAATGCTTTGCAATAAGCCCACAGGGCCTTTTGGAGTGTGTTGTCTGTGGGATGTTTCTCACCGTTAGCTGTTTGACACATACACACACACACACACACACGCTTGTACATGTCATATTTGGAAAACTCTGTGCCCACACAGTTTCTGCACACACACCCTCTGCTTAAATTTTCCTTTCTGTTGCCACTCAGTGTCCCTGATAAAGTGGTTTTTGCCAGCACATGCACACTCACACTCACACACACACACACACACACACACACAGCCGCATAAATCTTTCTGTCTATCACAACATTCTGTGCAGTCTTTGTTGCAGGGCACAAAATATTATCATTACCTAACTGACTGTCCGTATATTTACATGCGTAAATCTGATCCCAAATCACACCGTGCTGTCAGATTTAGCATGGATCTGATATATCTGTTATCTTTCAGCAACAAAGATTAAGATCTGACTTTGTATGACAGCCAGCTCATCCCATGAGTGGCTTGTCTATACCACGCACAAGACTATTTCCAGCTACAAATCTTTCTTACATCAAAATGTGAGATAAGAGATTAGAGTCAGTTTCAAAGGGTTGTTACTAACAGCATCAGTGTTGGTAAGGTAAATTAGTGGGTCTGAGGAATTTTTTAATGGAAATACCATTTGAGATTGAAGTCATTGAGATTTTATGTATTTATTGTTGTTGTTGTTTTTTTTTAAAGGAAGTTTGTTAACAATGCTTTTATTCAGCAAGATTGCATTACATTGATCAAAAAGACTATTTATTAAAGAATCCTGAAAAAAAATGCATCATGGTTTCCACAATATAAGCAGAACAACTGTTTTCAAGAATGATAATGATAAAAATGTTTATTTAGCACTAAATCAGCATATTAGAATGATTTCTGAAAGATCATGTGACACTGAAGACTGGAAAATTCAGCTTTGCCATCACTGGAATAAGTTTAAATATATTAAATTGGAAAACTGTTTTCAATTTTAAATTGTAGTAATATTATATAAAAAATCTATAAACATAATATTATATAAAAATGATTTTTTATCATTATTTTATCAAAATGAGTTTTTAATTGAATAAATGGAGTCTCAGTGACTTGACTGACCCTAAACTTTTGAATGGTATTGTATACAGTATATTCTGAAAGTTGAAAAAAAAAGTTGAAAATTTTCTCCTCATCTGTGATGTGTGGTGAAAACATTGGTGATGGAAATGATACATTAAAAATTTTTTGGATATAAAATTATAATATAATATTTAATAAAAATATATGTATATAATTTTCACACAAAAACATATAGAAATGGTTTATATTTATTTCACTTTTTTTTAGATTACCTTAAATTTGTGATAATTCACATTGTTACGAAATTTTCATAGTGTAGGACTGAAAGTCTGGTTATGAATGTTTTTGGGTTTCACTATTGAGTTATGCTGAATGTCATTTTCAGGTTGGCAACTGCAACAGTGACTTTGTGCGTGTGTGTGTGTGTGTGTTCTGCTGCGTAAATGCTTATCTGCTTGCCAAATTGCCTGCCAGCCAAATCCAAAGTAAACAGAATAGATGTTGGGAAGAGATTGCCATTCCAGATTTACCTGCCCTGCACATAGCTGGGCAAAATCAATGTGTGTGTGTTTATGAGTTGTTAGACTCATATCTGCTTGTGTTCCTTTGAAGCCAATGACCAAATATGCAAGTGTTTCTGCTACATTAAGGTCCATTACTGGCTGTGGGCACTCATGTGTGTGAGTGCGTGTATGTGTGCGGTTTTATGGTCTGTGCTCACAGTGGCCAAAGTGTTTGATGGTACATGTGAAGGTTTGAAAGAATGTGCATGTTTGGTTTCATATGTGTGCAAATGTGCTTGTGGTTTTTGAGAGGAGAGAGACAGCTGCCTATTACAGCCCCAGGGGGTAATAAAGGAGGAAGGAGAGGTGGTTATTTGGGGTCTTTTATTGGGGCAGGAGGTAGAGAGGGGTTGGTTTTATTAGGGTCACATAATAACCAAGTACAGCTGCAGGCATCACCCCTAAACCTCTCCACATTCCACCATCACCTCCATTCTACCTTTGATTTTTTTTTAAGAGTGAATACACTTAATTATGTCTATTAATCTGTATATACGCTCTTAACATCCTTGGATGTGATGGCGTACTGTGTATGATAGATACAGTATATGTACAGTATATATGAATATGCATATGAGTGCACTGTGTGTTGGTCCTCATTTCATTTTGACCCTGAGTTTCCATTCCCTCTTATGATCCTGCTCCTTGTTAAGCACATCTGCTGTCAATCATCGTCACCTTGTAACCCGACTGGCATTTCCTGCCTGGATTGGACAGTTGGCTTGTTTGCCTGGATCCATTTTATTTAACAGCTTTATCCTATTGGCTAATCCAGAGTGTAATAAATGACCCACGGTCAACACTGTTCTGCACATCATAGCAAACAGAAATGTTAATGTTTGGAGTGGAAGATCAAGTTACTGGGGAAATTTCTTATTTGATGACTTACGGGTGTTTTTCATCCATTTTTATTTTACAATACATTTACATTCCCTTCATTTGAATGACAATCAGTGCATTGAAAGTTTTGTAAAACTGTGAGCTGAAAGACAGGAACCAGAGACACACAGAGGGTGATAGTGATGAGAAAGAAGAAAGACTGAGATGGAAAAATCAGGGAGAGACGGAGGGGTGCAGAGGGACAGACAAGTTATTCTAGTTACAGACAGCTGGCAGAAATACTAAAATAAGATGTGAACCTACCAGTGTGTCTGAGTGAGAAAAGAGAGTGGGAAGGAGTGTGGGTTTGTTAAAGAGGTCAAGGCAGTTTCTTTAATTTCTTCTTATTTTGAAATAAAAATCAACTGACATTCATTCCATTAACATCATGGAGCTGCCAGTAAGCTTCTGTGTGGATAAATGCTACTGAATGACAGAAAAACACTAACTCTTGGCAGCAACCTTTATTGTCCATGCACAGAAATAAGTAATTGTTTGAAAATAAAAAAAAACATAATGAAAAAAGATTTTGGATGAAACTTCAGATTCAGGTTTTATTAAAATATATACAAAAAATTAAAGATGAAAAGAGAAGGTTGGGATTGGAGCTTCATGGGGTTCTAATTACAACTGACCCTTTGCTTAGCTCCGCCCCCTTTGGTACAGAATGTTACATAAGAATGAATTGGAGATTTCAATGAACAGTGTAATTTTGAGTCAAATGTGCTCATAAAATGTTAAAATGTTGATTGGATATTGGGATGGAATGAAGTGAAGCATTTTATCTGCCTTTTGAATCTGTTGCAAATTATGCAGTAAGATTTATAAACTGTGTCAACAGCAAATCAAAATCAAGGCAAAAACTTCTCATAATCAACTGAATATAGTCAAATTTACTGTAAATTAATGGTACATTTTAATTTTAAAACTATCCAAACAAATTTCGCAGGCAAAAAAGGTCAATTATCTATTGTCCTTAGAGTAGTCATGTATGAAGCACAGCTCATTTCAACCCAACTTGAACTTTTTCTGAAATCTGAGTGGAGAAATCTTTCACCCTTACTCGAAATTCCCATTAATGTAGATCACTACTAAAAACAACTGGATTTCGCCTGTGAAATTTTACAATAGTAAATATGACCGCACCTTGACTGATATTTTTCAGTGGTGACTATGGACTGTCTCACCAAAGTCTGGTTTCCAAGCTTCAGATTTCCAGGTCTTCATCTATGTGAAGGCCAACCCTTAAAAGTGCCTTTGAGCCCACAATGATGTATTTGTTAAATGACAAATCAGGACCCAATTTCTCACATGAATTATTTGCATGGCTCTCTGATGTATTATTCAAATACACTGTCAAAAAAAAAAAATGAAAGAAGAGATGCGATGAGGGAGAAAGGAAATAGATGATATAAAATCAAAGTCATTGTTGTTAACGATGAAACAGCGTGATCTGGATGGATGTTCTTCCTGTTTCCTCATACTTTCACTCTCTGACATAAACTCTTGTGCACACGACATCGTCTGCGGTCATGGTCTGCCAAAAAAAGCAGGAAAAAGACTATTAAAAGATCAAATATGATCAAAGACTCATGTGTGTGTAAGAGTTGTAAGGATAACATAATAATAGGAATAAATCTAACCAGAATCAGTTCACCGTCATTGGTCATCTCCCTGGTCCATGAGGTTTTTGGACCCTCACCCTTCTGCAAAGTCTGTTCACAACTAATCTTGCTGTCTGTTTCCCAGCGAGGAAAGCTCTGAGAGAAACAGAGACAGACAAATATGTGAAGGCAGTATTTTTCTTTGGAGATGGAAAGAGTGAGATCAGTGCCCATGAGAATGTGAGTTCCAGGGATGGAGGTTGAAGGAATGGGTGTGTATCCAGTTTGATAGCTCCTCTGAGATGGAGGGTGTGATTGAGTCCACATCAGCGATCAGGACTGCATAAACACACACACACTTCATAGGTTCTTGCTCTTTTGCATGTTTTGGAAAAGGACAATTTGTCAGACAGACAGACAAATGGACAGTAGGAAGACTGAAGTGTTTTTCTATGGGTGCGTGTGTACCGTGCAGGGACGTCCATCCACAGTGGCCTCATTAAACTCCTGTCCAACTGTGAAGGTGACATGGGTGGTCCTTACAGAGGTGGAGGTCTTGATTGACAGGGTTTCTCCGTCCTGCGTAATCTCCACAGATGGCTTTGATGCAGCTGCGACCGCAATCTTACGCAGCATCACGTTCACACCTGACAAAACACACACATGCAGATCAGAACAATCTCCTGAAGAACAGTGAGTACTCTGGCATCCTTAGAGGTTATGGGGAATTCTTCATTCACACAGTTTAAAGGACAAAAAGGGGGATGAGAATGATTTTATTAAGATTGGCTGTACTCCACACATCTGCGCTCGCTGCCGGCACTGTCTGATGACATCACCTGTTATAATCCCATAGAGAGAAACCCATTTGACAAGACGGAGCACCCAGAAAAATAAAAAGCATGGTAATGGAGTTTAACACACACTAGAGATCATCTGATATTCTGTAATCCCAACAAATACGGTACATAACTAAATGTTACATTAATATTATACCAATTTAATTGCTGATCACTGTAATCCAGGACCTATTTTAATAGTTTTTTGACACAAATAACTAAGTAACTGTCAGACTATAACAATGCATGCAAAATATTAATTATAATAATTATTATAATAATACTATACAATTATGAATATTTACTATTATAACATTTATTCATATTTATAACATAATTTTTGCTTTTAAAATACTATTCTAATAGTTACTAATATTTTCATTTTTTTAATACTATTATAAGTAAATTGTTATATGGAATTATTATTATTATTACTATAAGTACTATTTTGTCTCCTTTTACTTTATGTTTTTCACTTGAGAATGAGTTTGATAAATAAATAATCATGAAAACAATCAAATTAATTATGCAAAAAATGTATTGAGGTGTAGTGATGGTGTTGGGACTGTTCGTTAAAGACCAACCAAATGGTGATTTATCAATAAGCCCAATATTAAAGAAACGATAACCAAGAGATAAGCATAAATATTTATAAATAAAAAATGGTCAAACCTATTGATCAATACCGAACACACACTACTTTATTTTTTGTGTTCTACACATACATAAAAAATCTAACTGTACATTCCGACAAACCGATTAAATACTGCATGTCAAATGGAGCCTTGCTGTGTGTGTGTGTGTGTGTGTGTGTGTGTGTGTAGGTGGGTGATAGCTTTGAAAGGGGAAGTTATTCAACCAGCCACAGGGGATGCTGTAATCTATTAAACCTAAATGGATTGACCACAGTTTGGAAGAAGGGAAGGGCAGAGGCAACAAAGAAAAAAGCATGGCACAGTCGAAAAAAAGGGCAAGATTACTGACAAAAGAAGAAAAAAATGAGCAAGAATGGCAGCAGAGACATAGAAAAAGATACTCAAGTGTGAAAAAAGACAGCTAGATATAAAGGCCAGTCTGTGTGTGTGTGTGTGTGTGTGTGTGTGAGAGAGAGAGAGAGAGCCTCTGTGCATCGAGTAGGATTTCACACTACTCACCTCACACACATTCCCACCTGTCACCAAAAGTAAATATATACACATGAAGGCAGACAAGAGGGGGCCAAAATTTAGACACACGTACAGGGATAGACGTGGAAACAAATTGCCAATACTCTAATGACTTTTAGCATAAGCCATTAGCACATGCATATTCTTACACAATTAGTGCAATAAACACAAGAAAACGGAAATTTAAACGTATTTACAAGCCACATTCTCACTCTGAGAGTGTAATCCGGGCAGAACCTTGTTAAAAACATTAGTTAATAAAGTTAAACCGGCTCCTGTCAGATCAAGCACTGCTTCAAACCCCATAACTAACTGAGAGAAGATGTCAGAGGAGTCAGACGGTCAGGGTCAGTGTCATAGGTTAGGGGTCAAAGGAAGTATTTCAGAATAGAGGGATGGAGATGAGGACACAAGTTGGAGGAGGGTGGATGACAGGGTTTGGTGACACGTTGGGCTCATCTGTGCACTGAAATATTTGTGTGGCGAAAAGAATTTTAATGTGCCATTGCTGAAAGTCTGTGAATTTAAGAGAGTGTGTACATATGAATGCGCATGTGTGTCTGTGCAAAACATTAAAGCAAGTCGCAAAGTTCATTCCTCCATCAGCCAGTCTGTCAATCATGCACGTTCCTCACATATAGCCACGCCCCCTTCGGTTTTACGATGACATTTGTCCTCAGAAGGGTTCGTGTGGCTGCAGATCTCATCTCCTGAAATTTGGGGTATTCATATAACACATCATGTTCCCATGCCAGAAACAGCGGGGCCTTTTCTCTCCATTGTGCTTCTCCTTCTCCGCCCTCTTTAACCTGTCTGCTTCATCTCATCATTCTTTTGAATGGTGAAATGAAGGACCTACTCTTCCTTCTCAGGGAATCTGCTTCTTTTGTTCGACACAGGCTGTTGAAGAGGGGTGTTTGGGTGGCAGCAGTGCCCTCATTAAATCGGACGTCATTCAAATTTTGGGAACCCGCTGAAACTCCGGGATTCTGGCTTGACCAGTGGTAAATATTTAAACAAGAATTTCCGAATTGGTCGTCAAAGACAGCTAGTGAACTGACTTTCCAATATGTATGCACACTAAAATTGAGAGTGCGAGGCGTTTTTATGTCCAAACGCAAACTATTGTGGACGAATGGATCTTTAACAAAGCTCCAGACAGGTATTGCTCAAGGAAATTGAGCGAAATAAACTCAACCCTGCCCAATCGGATACGCAGTGCCAATTGCTTTTTACCTGCTAGGTTTATTAAAACAAGTATACCTAATAAATAGTTAATTGTATCTAATAAATACTAAATGATAACTAGTAGCCTAACTATCTGTATATATAATTGACAGTAAAATAAATAAGTACTAGTAACATAAAAACAGATACCGACTAGTTATATGGAATGAATATTAAAACGGTTTTGCATAGACACGCAAGAGCGGTGGTGAATTTGTTGGTCTGTAGCGCAATCCATGCCCGCGCATTCAGGATTGGTTAGTCAATTTTGCGCACTCTTTGCGCGCGCGTCTGCATCATGATTAACACTTACCCAGTGCTTTGAGAAGCTCTTCGAAGTTCTCGGAGCTTTTCATTTTCCAAGTACCAGCAAAATCGGGGATTTTGCGATCCATCTTGCGTTCTGTCGTTCCTTTGAGTGTATCACTATTATTCTCTCTGGTGCGTGGCTGAGTGATAGTCCTTAAACCTGACACCCTTTACAATTACCTGCAGCTTTGATTCTGAAAAGCAGTGTTCCCACTGATAATGCCAAACTGATTTTCCTCTTTCCTTTACCCTTCTAATGCTCTCTTTGTCCTGACAAGAGAAACTTAAGATGTCAAGCCTTTCTCTTCCCGTCTCAGACTTTCATTCAGCTCTTCCAAACTTTACAGCTTTTGGTGAATAGGTTGAACCGAAAATTTGCGCCAGTTATCACGCTTAATCCGTGAGCGCACACACCCCTTCTTCGACTAACTCCACCCTCTGTTTGCCCTGTCAAATCAAGGGACCAATGATATTTCGAGATGATTGTCTTGCCCCGCCCATTCCACGCCCCTCTTAAAACATGTGCGCGTTTGAAAACGCCCATCAGAACTCAGTTTTATGTATGCAGTTATTTATTTGCACGGTTTCCCCGAAAGATTTCAAGACTTTGTTTCTTAAAGTACATTGCAAAATATTGCTAGAATATACATAAACACACAGGCTCTACTGGCATGATCAACATTTATTGCAAAAGCATACAATAGGGAAATACACGAAATTAAAGGGTAAATAAAAATGACAATGTAATGAATAATATAAATACAATGGGGATTCATTTACATACAAATATAAGGATATAAAAATCTATTATATAAAAATGTAACGCTAATGGGGGATCTCTGGTCATGTGTTACGTTATTGGCATGTATGTTTCACACGCAAAAAAGATAAAAAATAATAACAGCGACAAGAAAACAAAAAAATGTAATTAAATGAAATTAAATAATAGAACAGACATTCAACAAGATGGGATGTAGGCTACTTTACAGATGTCTCACTCTCTGTGACAGATAAACAAGCTGTGTTCAAGTAACTGTTGGACACACACATGTGAATATGATCATAAAACAATCAGGACACTTTGTCAGACTAATTGTTAAAACAGAGCTCTGTCAAGTTCAGTCTTTTCTCTCCTGTCCAAATCACAGCACACTCAAAACTCTCGTAACTGGATCTGTCTCCGCTGTGGTTATCCTCTTCCACGTTTGGGACTGAGGGAGACACGGAGGGTCTTCTGCGGGTGGTGGAAATTCCAGAGACCCTGGCGGGAGCAAGAGGACGCGAGTGAAGAGAATGACGCAGGCACAAAAGGTGACCTAGCAGAGGCCAGGAGGTTGCAGGAGCGTCCCCGAGGGTCTTTGGTCTCCCCCTCACCCCTGCTGTTGAAGCGGAAGAAAAGAACCGAGCATATGGGGGTAGGGTCTTGGTAAAAAGGTGGAGAGGCGAAGTTTGGGTCTCTAATGAAGACGCGGGCCATGGAGACTGGATGATGAATGTGAGTCGTACAAAGAAGTCGTTAACCATTTACTTTTGATGGATGGTCTTCCGCGCCACAGCGAACTGCAGATTTTAATATGCGGGTTACCCGGGTGACAGCTTGGACCGCTCGCGCTGAGCAGTTACTCCGGTGTTGCCATGTCTGCTTATTATAAACGAGTTTTATAAACCTTTTTTTTTTTTTAAACCGTTTACGAAATGGACAATCGCGGGTCCATTTTTGGCATCGTAAACGCCCTATATAATTTTTTGACAGGAATGAAAACAAGGCTGTGAAAAATAAAAGTACAGTGAGTTCTAAGGATTGTAGTACTGTTGTTTAACAACACACCGACTGTTTAGCTTACGAAACGTCTTTCTGAGACAAAAACCCCATAAAAACTGTGCGGTGTGAAAATTATGTGTTCTTCTAGGATTTTTATACAGTGCCTACCATTGTAAAGACTGTAAGTCTCGTTTTAATCCATGTTAAATTCAGTATAGCATCTAACCTTATTAAGATCTATTACTTATGTTTGAAAATAAAGTATGACCACTTTCAGTAGCTTTCAAATATAGGCTACTATTCCAGCCACACTGGCATTATCAATCACCACAGGTGTATAGAATTATTTATCAATAATAAATAAAAGATCTATAATATATACATACATATAGCTAATTAATTATTTAAGTGTATATTTGCATATGTAAAATATTTTAGTTAGGCCTATTTTTGTACAAGAATATAGGCCTAATAATTATTGAAAAATAATTATAATTTGTCACATTTTAGCCTAGTTTTGCCATTTTCCATAGCCTACTTGATAATCATACCAAACTGTTTGTTTTTCTTGCGAGACCTGGCAACACCGAATCACTTCACCATCTGACTCACAGCCTCCCGACACACTTCAGTTTTACGATTATTAGTTTTAAACATCCCACACAAAGTGGTTCCTTATTGTAGGCCTTTCTTTCCCCGTTTATAGAGAGGAATGTAGCCCCGTGGGGTCGCGGCCGCTCACTGCATGTTGACAAAACGCGACGCTTGTATTACAAGCACTTGACAGAGATAGCGTGAAGCGATGCGTCACACATCACACACCTTGCCGATTGTGTTCACACAATAGCTTCATGTCCACACATGTTCCTCTTCGTACAACAACAACAGACGATAGTCATTACGCTCTCATATCAATGGAGCTATTTGTCTTCTTATCGCCGTCCTAATCTCTCCTTTACTGCGTCCTCTGCCTTTGTAGGTTTTTGTTGACTTTTTAACTTGTTAGCTGCTGGCCCGCAAGCAAGAGAGATAAGTTATCAACGGTATATCTAAATACCCCACTTAGTGGGTTGTGCCCACCATCAAGATATTATGTTCAAAGATAAAGGCATTCTTGCATATGAAAACACACATTTGACCTAAGGAGAAACCAGTAGTGTGGAAACAGGTGAAATAGGAAATTAGCAAAGCAATTCAATTAATGTTTCCTGGTAAACATTTACAATATCTTGCCTGTCCTGGGTGGCCCATGACACCGAACACCCTCTCGCTCCTCTTTTCTGTAATCATCCCCCTTTTCCCCCCTCTTCGCCTTACCTATTTTCATTCCCACCCACTTATCTTTTGTTCTTTTGTGCTTAGGTCATTTTTTATTACTTTGTTCAGGCCTGGTGAAAGGAGGAAAGAATAAGTGAGAGAAAGAGATCAAAGCCCAACGGGGAATGACAAAGATGGAGAAAAGGATGAGAGACAAAGACAGAGAGAGAGAGAGAGAGAGAGAGAGAGTTGAAGGGAGTAAGGAGAGATGCTTGGCATGCAATGAGGGCATAAATATTTCTGTGCACTTTGAAAGAGGAATTAGGGTTTCATTTTACATTTCTCTCACTTTCCCTCCCTCTCTTCCTCTCTTTCTTTCTACTTCTCACTCTTCTTGCCAAAAACTCAGCAGGGTAAGTGATACTCCACTCTGGGGACTCACATAACCCCAAATACATGCCACCAGCACATTGGTTTACATGCTTAAGCCTGGAACACCACACACAATTGCACCTTCTCTCATCCATGACGTCACACGCTCATATGTTGTTTTCAATATGTTAGGAAAGGCATATAGACACAATGATTTTTTATGATGTTCCCAAAACTTGACCCTGAATCTCACACAATCCTGTCAACATTATTAGTTTGAGAGCTAAACAGCCTTTTAAGTAGTGAAGACCACTTCAAAAGTCCACCCAAGTTGATTCTCAAATGTGTTTTGCTATGTTTGTGAGAACATCTCTCACAAGTGTAGCCAAAGCTGCACCCACCCACCCACACACTGACTGACAAATAGGTCAATGACGTGATGTTCATGTGAATTTATTCAAAAATACATAAATACAATGAATACACATCTTCTAAGATATATTTAATTTCTGTAATAAAATTGACATTGATATTTTTGGAGGGGCATATTGCAAAAAATGTCAGGGTGATACAACGGTCCTGATATCATAATAAAGAAAAAAAAATTAAAGAATTCAATCCTTGAAGGGGAAAACTTAGTTTGTCATTATATAATAATAATAATACATTAATAAATTTGAAATTATATTATGAATAAATAAATAAATAAATATACTTTAACTGCTTCACTGCTTTTTAATATTTATTTAATATAAAGCCATATCATCCAACTAACATGCCAAAAAAAAAAAAAAGATATCATAGCCTCATGATTGTGTGTAATATGATTGTCAACATGTCCCTTATTATTTCAGATAATTTGACCTTTTTATGACAAGACAAGCTTAATCCACGTTGTAAAATGTAATGTGATACCACTCCACAAAAAATTATTCTTATGATATTTATGAATTCATAATGTATTTAAAATTTTTCCCAACTCTTATTCATTATCAACATTATTAAAAATGGGAATTTTGTCTTTCCATCTTGCTCACACAAACACTCACTCATGCATCTAATGAAGGGCTGATTTATAGTGCATGCAGCTAAATTAATTTGGGTGAAGAAGTAAATCTAGATCATGCTTGACTATTTGACTCATTACCTCTATATATCCACAAGTACCCACTGAAACGTAACATGAACCACATGATTTCTTTAATCAAGCTGTTCCTCTTTCTTTCTCCTTCTATATACATCATGTTACTCCTTTTTCGCCCCATGTTGTTCGTTTTGTCTCAGTCCAACTTTTGCTCATTATGTTCCACTTTCCATCTCCCCCTTTCCTCCTCCTTTATTCTCCCTCTTTTACACACACACACACACACACACACACACACACACACACACACACACACGCTCTCCCTCTAATCATTAATTCAGTCTTTATCCTATACTTTAGTCAAATCAGTCTCGGCCTGGTGAGGCAGTAGCCAAACATTCGTCTACCCATTATTGGCTGGCTTCTTATCTCTAAAATCACTTCCTACTGTCTTCTGTTCTCCATCCTGTTTCCATCTGAATAAAACACTCAAACACACACACTCATAATCTGGTAAATGTGGCTCATCTTTTTCTTGGTCACACTTCAGGCAAACCACAGCCACTCCACTAAACTTGACCTGACCTTTGACTTGGTGTCCTATGACACCAATTACTATCAGGCTGTTTTCTTTCTTCCCTTTGTTCTGAACAGGGGCATTTCAGAATCCAATATAGCAGAGTGAATGTTCTCAAGTTTTGTTTGTTGACCATGATCCAAAATGCTGCATAAATGAACTCTTTTACCTCAACAAACCTCAGTCATCTGGGGCTGCAGTAAGTGTGTGCGTTAAAACTGGCACTCTAAATGAAAAGGCTCGTTCCTAACCCACCAGGTATCCATGTTAAGCACTTTCTGTGCCAAAGCATTTGTTTCTTGTT